TACACACCTTGATCACCGTTCAAATTCAAATTCATATTATGATCTCTTTCCCCTAACATCATACATCAAGTCTATTTCTCTTGATTCATTCTTTAAAAAGAAGTTAAAATTTTTAGAGGTTAATAACTTGCTATGCCGAATTTTTTTAATAAAAAAATGTAGCACACAACTTTTGTCATGCTCATACTTTTATTTTTTATATATTTATTTTTTAATTATAGGGAGATGTTCACCTTGGTATACACACACACACTCAAATTTAAAAGTAATTAAATTGAAAATATTCAATTATTTAGACCAACTACACTGCTGGTAGATTGGTCATGTAATCGCTTCCATGGCAAATCTGAGGGGATGTTTGCAAAAACTTTGATGAAGTAATTCTCTAATTTTCAATGATTAAAAAGTGTTTTAAGGCATTTGGAAATCAGCTTTTGGCTTCTGATTTTCTAAAAATAAAGTTTTAAATAGTGCAAATCTGAAGTTGGGGGAAAGAAGCTTTTAACTTTTAATGGCAAAGTTGTAAATAAAGAGAAGTTATTTTGAGGAATGATTTACATTTTTGTCCTCAAAATTTTGCCAATATCCTAAAATTACCCTTATCCTCTGCAAGTTATGTTCCTTCAGAATCGTTTGTCGGGAGTGAATCGTCGGCATGAGAGAGAGGAGATGAGAAGCCTCAGAAGCAAGGGTTTTCTCTGGGAATCGCCTGCCTTCGATGACCACAACCACCGACGCAACCCAGTCGCCCGCCACCTTCACTGTCTAGTCACCCAAGCTTTTCTCTTATCTGGATTTGTAGTCCAACATGCGAATTACGCCCAAGCTTCACAGTTCAGCATGTGAATCTCTAATTTGGGATGATCTGGGTTTGGACCAGTCATTCACAATCTAGATGGTTTGGGGTGGATCAATCTAGGGACGATTTGGGATGGCAATGGGGAAGGGGGCAAAGAGGAGCAAAGATGAAAATGAAAAAAAAAAAAAGTGAGAGAGGAAAGGGAAAAAAGAAAAAAAGTTTAACATTTTGGTTAATTTTAAATAAAAAGTTTCTATAAGTAGATTATACAACTTATATTTCAAATACTTATATTACAATTTTCAAGAATTTCTTAACACATTTTGAAAAATGCACCATAATTAAACTTATAATCAACTTTAACTCATTTCTATTTAAAGTTTAACTTTTAATTTTACAAAAATTTTTGCAAACAGCCTATGAGTGTAACAGGGGCAACAATTTTTTTTTCTTTTTCTTTGGGGTTTTGCCATAGGGAGGGGGAGCAATTGGGATGACACGGAGTTTTAGGGTATTTTTGTTTATTTAAACTTTCTCTATATATATGTGTGTATATATATACATATACATACATATTTATTAAAAATATTTTAATGTGAATAAACTTTTTAAAATACTAATTTTCCAATTATTTTTAAAAATTAGTATAAAATAAATTCTAAAAATTATTTTTTAAAATATTATTAAAAAATTTATTCAAACAGAAGCTAATGTCTAACTTTAGCCTTGAGGTAACCACGCTGAACACCTCCTCACTAGGGTAAGATTGTTGTTAGAAATAACAACAGGGCAGGTATGAGAGGAATAGTAATGTATTCATCTCCTTTCCTGCAAAAAAAAATTATTTTTTTATTATTCTTGTACTAGATTAAGTATTAATTTTAATTCTATCTCTATACACTTTTTTGTATCTGTGTAGCTATTTAAATATAATTTAATTTTTTAAAAAATTAATATATTGTATAATATATTAAATACATTTTAAAATATATTAGTTTCTTAATATGTTTTTTAATATATAGCTTCTAAATATATTTTTAACATTTATATACATAATATTATATTGGATATATGAAGGGATTTGACATTATCATTCTTGTAAAAATTTTCAATCCTATCGCTATCTTTTATTCTGCAATATATATATATATATATATATACTTAGTCTTGATCTATTTTAGAATATATATACTTAGTCTTGATCAGATAAAATTTATAACTATCAGTTAGATATGCTTAAAATTACTCTCTAACTGCAGCTCAGGGTAACAAATTGTATTACAGAAAAATCAAGCTAGATTTCTGCTTTAAATTACTTTATATTTCGATGAATTTTTTTGCTGAAATTACGGCAATCTTATGCCAGATTTGCCCTACAAGTACGTGCTGTAGTTTGCTGGATTTTTTGCTGATTTTTTCCTTCTCCAAAAGCAGCCCCCCGGCGGGCCCCTCGCGGCGCGTTATACTGAATGATAGTGTCCACGTGTTCTTTGGGATCATTAAACCCCCCCCCCCCCCCAATTGTATTTTTTGTCTTTTATAATAAAAATATCTTTTTTGTTTATGAAAAAAAAAAATTTAAAATCAACCTCAAAAGTTCATAATTTTAAATATTTATATTTTTAATTATATAAAAATTTATTTAATTATTTTGGGTAAATATATTGTTTTATTAATTTATTGAAACAATAAAAACATTTAAATAGAAATGGGTATATTCCCATGCTTGGCCAGAAAATCTGTCGTCATACTCAACTAAATATTAATTTTAATACATATCTCCGTCCTTATCACACAGTAGCATACTCTTTTTCATACTTATCTACCCGTTTGAATATAACTTATTTTTTAAATAAAATATTAAATATATTTATTCTATATATTAGTATCTGAATGTATTTATAATATAAGTCTTTAAATATATTTTTAATATTATATGTGTTATATATATATTATATTAAATACAAACAAGTTTAATACTATATAATTTTTTTCCTCATTCCTATTTCTGTATCTGAAAAAATTTTGAAAAAATTTCTAACCTCAATCATATTTTTATGTTTTACTATTTATACACGACCTGATAGATAAAAATTGTCGGACATAAATAACATTGCCGTGGAAAAAGAGGGACAGAGCCTTGGAAGCCTGAAATGAATGCCTAAACAAAGTTCCAATCTGAATCCACTTTACATGCACGCAACGGTGGGTCAAATATTCCAGTGAGCATCCCGTGACACATGCTGAGATGGGGGCACGGGCGGGAAGAAGGAATTTGACCAGCTCATGAATTCCAGGTGTTTAATTTAAATTCAGAGATTTAAGAATATTTTTTAAAATTTATTTATTGCAAGAAAATAAAAAAAAAAAAAAAAAAAAGACCCTTGCGGAACCAATCTAGGTGGCTAGGTCTGACGTCTCTGGCGCATCGGCTGAAGAGACGCCGTGAAAATAGGCACCAAACAGGACCCTGTGTGTTGTCCGGCTCACATGCCCATGTCTCGGAGGGACTTATTTATTTATTTATTTAAATTTTGTTTCTTATTCTTATTTGTTTTTGATATTACCAAGAAGATATATGAATTGTGATTAAAATCAAAATTAATATTAAAATTGAAAAAGAAAATCAAACTAGAACAATATGGATAATAAAAACAAAAAATCATAATTGTATCCATAAAAAAGGATTAAAACTATTCTATTAAATTATTTATGTTATTCACATTTAAACTCGTAAAAATGTAGTTTAAAATGTTAGTTTTAGGATTTCATTTAAAATAAACATTTAATAAAAATAAAAAAAATTTAAGCAAAAGTTGGAGTGGGCATCCTCCAATCCTTTCTCCCGAGAATTTTTTGAATTTTCTTGAATTATCGTAATTGAATTTGACATTGAATCAATTTAATTAAATTCACAAATAAAAATATATATGTGCAAATAATACTAAAATTTTATATAGATAATCTGAGGATATTTTGGCCAGTTTATATTGCATACTTATAATCTTATTTCTTATGCAAAAATGTAGTATATGTATAGATATGTTTTCTCATGGGCTTCTCACAGGTGCCTCCTTAATGGGCTTCATGCAGCAGCCATCTTCGGGGCACTAAGCCCACTTCCGAGATCGTAAATGGGCTAAGTAGGAATTTTAGGTTAATCTTAAAAACCCACACATTTTCCTTTAATACCCCTCCGACTTCGAATAATAGGGTGAAACAAATGTCTATGAAATACTAGGCACAGTTTTCTTTTCTTTTTTTTTTTCTTTTTCTGTGCACAATTCACCAAAGAGTCGAAGATTATTCAGGAAGTGAGATGAAAAATTCTCTTCGCCAATAAAATTCTATTTTTTCTTCAAGAGAAAAGTGTTGATCCTTATCAAAATATATGGGAGGTTTTGAGCTTTATGCTTTTTCTTTTTTCAGTTATTTTCTTGTATAATAATATAATAAAAGAATATAAAATATAAGAGAAATAATGGGAAATTTATTAATATCAAGGTATTAACATTTTTTTTGTTACATTTTTTTCTTGATACTCCATAGGAGGATTTGAAAACTAAAATTAATAAAAGAGTATTTAGAAAAAAGTGAGTTTAGAAAAAATAAATTATAGGAAAAAATGATTTTAAATACTTAGAGGAAGAAATTAAATAAATTTGATTATATGATGATATTGTATTCTTAAAACTGGTTAGATGAATAATAAATATCTGATAAAATTTTAATTTATTCAAAAAAATTCACTATCATATAATTCTTAAATGTTTGAAGTTTTTATTTTACTCTTTCAATATATATATATATATATATATATATTTGTTCGGACCTAATAAAAAATATCTCTAACAAATAATTCTGAAAATTGAAAATTTACTCACTTTATCTTCTTCTTCGATAATTAATGAATGTGTTTGCCACCGTGAAGATAATAAATCAAAGCATCCTTAATACTATGAAGATTAACGTTTGAAACGATCCTCTTTTATTGCATAATTTGGATTACAAACGAGGAAATAATTGCTAACTAATCGATAATTAAAATATGAAAAGAAATCTGAACAAAGGAGCCAACGAATCCATCTTACTAAAGTTTAAAATGGAAAGCTTAATTATTAAATTAGTATAAATCACATTTAGCGAGAAAAACAAAAAATAAATCAGAAATTGGGGATAATCTACTCAGGAAAGTCAAACTGGACATCTTCCCGACAGCGTTATCGAAAGAATTACCAGACTGAGCCACTTGATAACTGTGTTCTTGCTGTGCCTTGTGAAGGGCAATTTCGGCATAAATGTTTGTGATCTCAATCTGGGTCTGAATAATTTGTTGCTGCAAGTGAGAGATTATTCCAACGCATCCATAAACCGGGTCTCTAACTCTCCATGTTGCTTCAAAACTGATGCACTCTGCTGCATCCCTCGTAAATTCACCGGAAGTCCCTGTAATTTTGAGAAATTTGAAAATTTATTATAATTTATTACGTTGGTATAAGAATAAATGCACTATATAATATTTTCTCATTAATTTGTTGTATTATCTTAGTTATATTCAGTATTTATTTCTTTCTGTGTGTACACCTGCGCGGTGTTTTTTTTTTTTTTTTAATTTTCAATTTTTCATATCAAGCACATGAAAATTAAATATTCAAAATAAACTTCATAAGAAGTTAGTTCCTTACATTAAAATCAAACATATTTTTAGTATCTTATCCAGAATTCAATTTTGAAAAAAAAATTATACAACAAAATAATTACGTCTATGGATCAAATTAAGCATAGCGGTTCAAAACGAGCATAGCTTTAAAACAAGGTGACCCCAATCGTTAGGGCTAAAAAGTCCCTGATTTTGGATGCGTCTAAATGATTTTTTAACAAAAAAATTAAAAAACATTTTTTAAATATTTTAGAGTATTTGGGTAAACTTTTTAAATATATATTATAATAAAAACATTAAATTTTTAATTTTTTTAAAATTAGTATTAAATAATTTCTGAAAAAAATAATTTTTAGAAAGTCCCTTTTGAAAAAGTTTTCTCCAAACTCACCTTTATTTCAGAAATTATTGCAACAACTAATGATCAGAACATTTTCTTCTATATGAACTGTATTTGTCAGCTCAATTATAGATTTTTGATTCTGGAAAACAGATTTTCTATCTACTAAATAATTTTGCAATTATATCAAAACATGCATACCATACACTCATAAATGGTGAAACTTCATTTCAGCTTCAACTCTGAACAAAGTTAAATTAAAAGAGATTTTTACCTCAAGCATCTTGCTGACATTACTAGCTCCAAAGATCTTGTGGACAAATCAAATCTCTGGGGATTATTCGAGGGGAAATAGGGTGCCAAAACACAATCTTGAGAACATCTCCTCCTCAAAGATTTGCAAGCTGCACATCTTGTTGAATTAGACATGGCTTGTTGAATTTGTAAAATCTATAAAAGATAAAGAAAATAAGAATCTATGAAAGATTTTCTCCAAAATTCTCAAGCTCACTCAAATCTTTGTTTGAGTTTTCTTGGATATGAGAATGGTTTTATATATAAAATAGTGCTAGCCCTAATTTTAGAAGGAGCTAACGGCTAGTTTTTTAAAATGGTAGGAGCTTAGGAGAATGGAAAATTCACAACATTTCCTATTCATCAAAACGGTTGAGTTGACTCATAACATAATTAACTTTTCAATTTTATACATTGCTCAATTAATGCACCAACATTGTTTTCTTAATTTTTGACAGTTATATACATACATATATGTAGAAATATATTTATTTGATCATATATATTACATAATATTGGTTTGTTTATATTTTCAAAAACGGCATATTTATACACTAAAAACAAATATGATCTTTTGTTTTTATAATTCAGCGTATAGGTATACCCATGTTATACAAATTGATCCAAAATGAGTAAAGTTAAAAAAAATAACAAAATTATCTCATCATCAATTAGGTTATTTCGGATTTAATGGATCATTGGTTTGGCTAAAACTTTGGCTTTTCAAACTCTTTGGAGAGCTTTTCATAAACAAAAAGGAATAATTTTTATTTTTAAATTATAAAAATTGAAAACATAATCTCTTGTAATTTTAAAAATTCTAAAGGAAAACCTCCATCATTTTCAATGTGTTTTCAACTTTGAAAACCTTTAATTCATATTTAAAGTTATAAATGTATTTAATTTCAAATTTATGAAGCATCAAATGAAAAGGACAAAAATTTAACGCCATTAATTTTTAAGATGAAAAAAAGTCTAAGAAGCCCCAATTCTACACTCGTGATAATGGTGCATCTCTAAAGGCAGCAAAAATAAAATTTTAATAATTTTTTGATGGCAATCAAAGATTCCAACGGTGAATCTTTGATTCTTTGATAGCATGCAATACCAGAAACCTATGGTGAAGGTCTCTCATGGGCTTCTTACAAATGCTTCGTCAATGGGCTAAAATGGCCGCTAATTTAGCGATGGAAAATTGGTGACAAAAAATTAGTGATAAAAATTCTATCGCTAAATTTCAACAGAAATTTTTTTACTAAATTTCGTCGCTAAAGTTATCAACGAAAATTTCATTGCTAAATTTCATAACTAAATTACTAATAAAAATTTTGTCACTAAATTGCCAACGAAAATTCTGTCACTAAATTACCAACGAAAATTTCGTCGCTAAATTACCAACAAAAATTCTATCACTAAATCCCGTCAATGATTTTACTTTTGGTTGAAAAATATATAATTGAATTTTTGTTGATAATTTTTTTCCAATATAAATATATGTTTCTAATAGAAACCTGTATTTTATTTTCATAATGTTTAATGTAATGAAAATAATGCAATTTACTCATAATTCATTAAAAAGTACAATACAATCATATATTAATAGAAAAATACAATACAATCATGATAAATATATATAACATCCAACAAGTTTTCAAAGTTTTACTCCAACATATATGTTTGCAAATTTACCATACAACAAGTACACATAATATAACAATGTTTTGGCAACCAAAAAGAAAAATAAATAACAATCTTATTTTGGGTGACAATGAGTGGATCGATGAGTATCACGTGTAGATGAATTTAGACCAATATCTTGATTCATTTTTTAAATAACATCTTGGATGAGAGATGGTATTGATGGTGTTTGATATTGTTGCAATAAAATTGTTAAAATTTCATAAAGAACTGCTTCTCTTCTTTTTGTTTCCTCATAAAGATTGCCTTTCATTTTTTTTTTTGTTTCCTCAATAAATTCTGTCACTTTTTCCTCCATTTTTTTCTTTAGTTTCTCAATGTTAGAAACATATTGTGGAGTCAATGGAAATGTATCATTAGGATATTGAGTAGAAGATGATTGTTATGTATCTAATACTTCATTAACAAACTTGTTCTAACCAAATCCATATACAAAACCCTTAAATATGCCACCAATGCTGCTATCCAAGAAAAAGTATCAAATCCAAGTCGGGATGTAGACTCATCATTGCCATTTTTTGTGATTGAACATCCTCAAATTCATCCTGTTTACACAAGTAAAAAAAGTACACTAAATTAGAAATAACATATTTGCTACCATGTATTAATAATAAGTAAAATGAAATTAATAATTCACTTACCAAAACTCTCTTTGACTTATTGTCAACATATTCATCTTTTCCTTTTTCTTTTTTGTGGGTACGATCAAAAATATCAACTTCACACACATTATCAAAACCAGTACTTTTTTCTACACCCAAAATAAAATCATTTAAGTAAATAATCTTACAAATTGATAATTTAAATTGAGAAATTCATTATAAATAACAAATAAAAAATAAAATTACCATCCTCTTTTCATGCTCTCTAAATGGAATGGAACCACCAGTATGTTTTGTAATAGATCCATCTTTCTTAGTCATTCTATTTTTTCTAGCCAATCTTTTTTTTTTCTTCCAATCCTCTGTTTCAAAAACCTCATCTACCAATTTATTCCAATCATAAGGATTCAACCACTTATGACCATTGCCCTTCATTTTCAAAGGATCAATCCAATCATTAGCAGCTTTCATAGCAGCTTCAGGAGTATCATTAAACATATTGATCATATTTTTTGCAAATACATATGACCATGACTTTTTAATACCATGCTCATGCTCATGCTCAGGCAACTATTAAAAATACTCCTATTACATTTCAAGTAATAAATCAATAATAATAATTAGAATCATTCAATCAATTGATCATTGTATATATCAAACACTATAAGTTATAGAAAAATAACTAGTTACTTTAAGTTTACCAAACATATTGCCCTTAACATGTGTAGGAACCTTCTTCCAAGTATGCAATGGGCCTAAAAAACTTCTCTTGACCCTCATTGAGAATTAATTGACGTCTTAGACCACGGCCTTGTATACCATGTTCTTGTCCCCTACCTCTAGATTCTCTTCCTCCCTTTCCTCTAGTTGCCATCTTGCAAAAAAAATATTTATATATATATAAACATAAGATAATAAACATAAATAAATAAAAATTATAATTAAAATAAAAACAAATAAAAAAGAAAAAATCATCTCTAATATTTCATATTCTACATTTTTCAAATGACAATAATAAGAAAATAAACACATGTAATATAACAAATTAATAACTCATGCATACATACTTAGGTTGCAAGTTTTAATAAATGTGAATAACTTTTAACCATAGTATTCATCATCATCAACGTTGTTGTCGTTGTCGTCGTAACATAAAAATTAGTAACTCATGCATGCATATTTAGATTTCAAATTTTAGTAAATTGTAGAGAGAGATAGAGAGAGAGATGAGGGTTGAGTATTGCAAAGGTTGCAAGGCATTAGACAGAGAGAGGGGTGGAAAAGTTGGGTCAAGTTTAGGGGTTGGCTGCTCAGCATTAGAGAGAGAGAGAGAGGTAGAAAAGTTGAGTCAAGTTAGGGCTGCCTTGCATGGCATTAGAGAGAGAGAGAGAGGGAAAAGTTGGGTCAACTTTAGAAGTTGTTTATCAATTGGAGGGAAATTGTGAAAATTTTAGAGATGTGTAAATTTTGTAGACTTCAAAATTTAAAAGAGTTTTTTTCTTCTTTTTTTTGCTTGTTGGTATTTATTAACATTCAACCCTGGCCTTCCTCTCTCCCGTTATAAAGTTGCTTTCATTTTGATGTTTCACAGATGAATAATTAATTGAAAGCTTAAGCAGTATTTTGAAGTTTACTATGAATAATTAATTCAAAGCTTAATTAGCAATTAAAAAGGATGATTAGATATAACTTTGAGTTAAAGGCCTAAAAGTTCGGATAAAAGATTTATACAAGGAAACTAGTTTAATAGCTAAAGTATTCCTCACGTTAATATTCAATTGTTTTTTTACTTGCAGAAACATCTAAAGTGTGAACTTAATTATGTATAAACCCTTTAACCTTAAATCGTAGACAAGATTATTTCATTTTAAAACTTGAATTATTAAAAAATCATATTAAGTTATTTAACATACAAAAGAATTTTATTTTATATTTTATGTTAGTCCTAAACTCTATTCATATAAATTTATAAGTGCATTTTATAAGTAAAAAAAATTAACCGAATAAAAATTTTTACACCGTTTCCTTTAAAAGAAAGGTATTCAATGTATTTTTATGATTGAATTTTTTTCAAAATAAAAAATATTAAAAACATTTAGAAACGAGTTTTTGTTTTCAAAGTTGGACATTTAAAAAAAATTATTATAGATATGCGATAATATTAGGAATAATTACTAAAAATAAAATTTAAATAAAAATATTTCCTAAAAAGGCCAAATGTAAAAATACTTCCAAAAAAGTCCATATCTTAAAAAATGTTCTAGTTAAGATAATTTGTATACCCAAAATGCCCTTCAATTTCAAGTGCGTTCTGGGCATAACAGTCAGTGATTGTAAAATAACAAATAACAAACTGTAACAAAATAGATTACTGCAAAAATCTGTTACTGTGTCTATAGATACCAGCTTATATTTTTTTAATTTTGGGTGTGTTATGGGCATCATTAGAAAAACGTCAAAATATGAAAGTTGTAGTTCTTTCTTTTAGCTTTCCAAAGAATTTTGAATTGCCAAAATTTGAGTTTTCTAACTTGAGATATGAATTTTTTATCGAAACTGGTGCTACTAAGAGTAATAGCAGCAGTTGACAGGTTGCTACTATTTGAAAAAAATGTAATAACTTGAGTTACGAAATTCGGAATGAGCTAATTCTTGAGGTATTGGAAAGCTAAGAGAAAAAGTTGCAACTTTCATGTTTAAATCATAATCCAATTCTTTGTATAAGGTACTCAAAATTGAAGAAATATAACCCAAAATTTTACAGTAAAAGTTATACTCAAGCAGCTGTTTTGAAAAGAACGTCATAACTTGAGCTACAGAATTTAGATTGAGTTGATTCTTAAGGCATTGGAAAGCTAAAAGAGAGAGAGTTACAACTTTTATGTTTGAATCATAATCCAATTCTTTGTATAAAGTACTCGAAATTGAAGAAATATAACCCAAACTTTTACAGCAAAAGTTACATTCAAGCAGCTGTAGAGCACTTGACAGCTTGCAACTATTTTGGAAAAATGTCATAACTTGAGTTACAAAATTCAGAATAAGCTGATTCTTGAGGCATTAGAAAGCTAAGAGAGGGAGCTGCAACTTTTATGTTTAAATTATAATCCAATTCTTTGCATAAAGGCACTCGAAAT